TCTGGAATCATGTATCCAATGGCTATTTGGACATTCCAACAGATATTTCAAGTATAACATATTCAAGTCTGTTTTATTTCTGCCTGTTATGTTTTTCTGTTATTCTTCAAACTACAGTTTACTGTGTCAGTACCTAACTAGCTGTAATTATATATAGAACCTAAGAGTAAAACACTATTTTATTTTCTGCACAGGAATTTAATACCACAGTGTCTTTCTACTTTTGTTTCTGTATTACTTTCCTGTTCTGTTTGCTTACTGCTCTGTTGTTTATTTTTTTATTTTTTCTTCTATTGGGTGGCCCATGCAGGGATCTGAACCTGTGACTTTAACGTTACCAGCTGCATGATCTCCCAAGTAAACTAGCTAACCAGCCTTGCTTTGTGTTCTAATGCAGCTGGTCTTCCATCAACCTGTTTTCTCTGATGCTCTCAAAAGCTTTTTCCATTCTTCTGGTGGATGACTGTTAAATTGCGAATCTAGTATGTAACTGATTTGTAGTTACAAAACCACATTATTTACACCCTGTGTTTACAAAGTGGCAGTGTTCACTCATGCAGACACGCGATCCTTTAAAATGTGCAAAGGAAATTTTGGAATGCCTTTGTATATGCTTTCAGTTTATTAGTAATTAAGAGACAGCAATGGCATGCAAGAGCAAAGGAAGACACTCCATGTTATGGTGCCATGTGTGGTTCCATTAACATGGGGTGTCTTCGTTTGCTCTTGTGACTGAAGTTTTGCTGTTGCCTCATATTCATGAGAACATGTGGTTCACGTGGAAGAGCTTAACATCTTTGACATTTCAGTGAAGTGCAAACAGAATCACACATGGCACCATGTCTAGATGAATGCTCATGATCAGAGATAAAAAATACACAATTAAAGAAACACATTATGGAATGATCCTGCGTTTAAATATTTGTCTATTTCAAACAGTAAAACACTACATGCAAAGACACCCCATGTTAATGGAACCACACATGGCACCATAACATGGGTTGTCTTCCTTTGTTCTTGTGACTGAAGTTTTGCTGTTGCCTCATATTCATGAGAACATGTGCTTCACGTGGAAGAGCTTAACATCTTTGGCATTTCAGTGAAGTGCAAACAGAATACAACATAGAATTATATTTTGTCTTTCTTACCCCATTCTCTATTGAACTTGTGTCTAAATTTGTTTATCAAACACACTGGTTCAGATTATACTTATGTCTTCATACCTGACTATAAACTTCTTGGAGAAGCAGCATTTTATTCATACTTTTATCGCTAGCAACAATGATGGTTCTTAACTATAAGGTAAGGTTTGTAATCATATTTTTAGTAATTAATATATTATTACAGTGACAGGATATTCCTGCTGGGGTTTTTTTCCCTCCACTATATGGAGTACAAAAAAGCAGCACCTTATTTAACACATAAGACACTCACACTTGCAGAAGAGTGAACTTTGAGATGCATATTTTGTGACCCAGGGCTGGTTGCTTGAGTTGAGATCAATGTGCCATTACAGGAGTTGGTGTCATTTGAGGATGTGGCTGTGGACTTCACCTGGGAGGAGTGGCAGGAATTGAATGATGCTCAGAGGACTTTGTACAGGGATGTGATGCTGGAGACCTACAGCAGCCTGGTGTCTTTGGGTGAGTGAAACGTTCCAGTAACATTCAGGAGAAACATTTTGTTATATTTTTTATAAAAATAGGAATGGTTTATAGGGTTTTATGCTATTTGGTAAGATTATATTTCATGAAAAACATGTCATCCCCATCTAACAAAAGTTCCAAATTGGCCATTAACAGGGCACCGCATTAGTAAACCTGAGGTGATCCTCAAGTTGGAGAAAGGAGCAGAGCCATGGATAATAGAAGAACAACCAAATCAGAGCCTTCCAGGTTAGTAAACACATCCTGGGCAAAAACGAGAATGAGTAAAAGCCAGCAAACCTTGGCTGTGTTCAGCTGGTTTGGGCAATTCTTCCACAGGTGCGTGAGCCAAGGCTGGTTCATCTTCTCACATCCAAGACATGTATTATATAATTTCTTAGATAGACTCACACATATGTATTTCCATATTTTATTTTGCTGTTTTTAAAAAACTCCAGTGCATAATACTACAGCTTTTGTGAGCAATGAATTATCAAGTGAGAGTGTGTGTTCCAGAGTTTGGGGAGGATTTTAGAAGGTGTCAAAAACAACTTCTTCAAAGATGATGGGCACAGCCTTGGTTGCAGAACCAAATATTTTAGACCAGCAGGAAAGGGGTTTCTGGAGGGGTGGACTGAAGTATTCTGTATAGTAATGGTTTTGAGAAGCACAGGAATTTAGGTTAAATGAGTAGTTTGTGGGAGGCTCTGTTTAGGGTGGAAAAAAGGAGATTTTATTATTTGAAAAACTTCCAAATGCCTATAGCCATTTCTTAGGGAAGAGTAAAAAGTATAGGGACATACATGCAAAAATCTTACTAAGTCATTTTACTCCGTATGTGATGAAAAATTGGACATTCTGCACCTGAAAGTAGCCAATGAAGGAAAACGTAGCCATATTCAAAGCAGAAGAATGAGAAACATGCATCAGAGAATTCACACAGGTGAGAAACCATATGTATGTAAAGAATGTGGGAAAGCTTTTAACCAAAAGCCTGCCCTCAAAAGCCATCAGAGAATTCACAAAAGTGAGACACCATATGAATGTAAAGAATGTTCAAAAGCTTTTAAAGAAATGTCAGCCTTGAGCATGCATCTGAGAACTCACCCAGGTGATAAGCCTTGTGAATGTAATGGATGTTGAAAAACCTCTAACTGAGAGGAGCCAAGAAAGTCATAGTAGATACTTGTGGCAAGGTGTAATGATCAGTGGCAACCGATCAACTGAGGAGAGAGTAGAGTTAGGAAAATCTTTTAATTTGAGTTCAAAGCATATTTTAAATCTGGTTATAAATAATGGAAACTATTCAGGAGTGGGGCATGAGGAGTTTAACATATATCAGAATGCACTTCTTCCAGAGACTGATACCATGCATGCTGGAGAGAAACCTGATGAGTGTAATATATCCGAGAAATTACAGAGACATCATGAGCATCTTAGTCAACATCCCAAGATTCCAACTGGGCAACCTTTTGAATATAGTGGAAAAGGAAGATCCTCCAACACAGTGCCAGTAATATTTACATGTAAGAACGTTCATATGGGTGAGACCACCTGTAAATATTGTGAATATAGGAAATCCTGTAATAAGTCAGCTGTCATTGCCCAAGAGATAACTCAGGTAGAGAAGAAAACTTTTCAATGTGATGTATGTAAGAAAATGTTCTATAAAAAGGCTAAACTTACTCAACACCAGATTATACACACAGGAGAGAAAAATGATAAATACAGTGAATGTCAGACATCTTTTATTAAGAAATCATACCTTATCGCATATCAGGGAACATCTACAGGGACGCAGTTTTATCCATGTAATGAACAGGAGAAATTTTTGTATCAAAAGTCAGACTTTACTGTGCATCACAGAATTCCCATAGAGGAAATGCCCTATAGATTTATTAAGTGTGCCAAAAACTTTCATGAGAAATCACTTCTCAGCTGTCATCAGGCAATTCACAAAAGTGAAAAATCTTGTGAATGTAATGGAGGTAAAAAATCTTTCTATCATAATTCTACCCTTACTATATGTCAGAGAGTTGACGTGAGCAAGAATCCATATGAATGTGAAGAAAGTCAGATTTTCTCCAATAAGTCTAAAGTCAAGAAACATGAGAGAATTCACATTGTTGAGAAACCCTTTGACTATAACACATGTGGAAAAGTCTTTCACCAGAAATCAAACTTCAGCAAGCATAAGAGAATTTATAAGGAATGTGAAAAAGGTTTTAACCAAAAGTCAAACTGGAAGAGACATCAGAGAATTCACACAGGTGAGAAACCATATGAATGTAAAGAATGTGGAAAACCTTTTAACCGAAAGTGTGCCCTCAGCAGGCATCAGAGAATTCACACAGGTGAGAAACCATATGAATGTAAAGAATGTGGAAAACCTTTTAACCGAAAGTGTGCCCTCAGCAGGCATCAGAGAATTCACACAGGTGAGAAACCATATGAGTGTAGAGAATGTGGGAAAGCTTTTAACCGAAAGTGGGCCCTCAGCAGGCATCAGAGAATTCACACAGGTGAGAAGCCATATGAATGTAAAGGATGTGGGAAGGTTTTTAAACAAAAGGCATCTTTCAGCTTGCATCAGAGAATTCACACAGGTGAGAAGCCATATGAATGTAAAGGATGTGGGAAGGTTTTTAAACAAAAGGCATCTTTCAGCTTGCATCAGAGAATTCACACAGGTGAGAAGCCATATGAATGTAAAGGATGTGGGAAGGTTTTTAAACAAAAGGCATCTTTCAGCTTGCATCAGAGAATTCACACAGGTGAGAAGCCATATGAATGTAAAGGATGTGGGAAGGTTTTTAAACAAAAGGCATCTTTCAGCTTGCATCAGAGAATTCACACAGGTGAGAAGCCATATGAATGTAAAGGATGTGGGAAGGTTTTTAAACAAAAGGCATCTTTCAGCTTGCATCAGAGAATTCACACAGGTGAGAAACCATACGAATGTGTAGAATGTGGAAAAGCGTTTTACCAAAAGTCAACCCTCAGCAGGCATCAGAGAATTCACACAGGTGAGAAACCATACGAATGTGTAGAATGTGGAAAAGCGTTTTACCAAAAGTCAACCCTCAGCAGGCATCAGAGAATTCACACAGGTGAGAAACCATATGAATGTGAAGAATGTGGAAAAGCTTTTAACCAAAAGTCACACCTCAGCATTCATCACAGAATTCACACAGGTGAGAAACCATATGAATGTGAAGAATGTGGAAAAGCTTTTAACCAAAAGTCACACCTCAGCATTCATCACAGAATTCACACAGGTGAGAAACCATATGAATGTGAAGAATGTGGAAAAGCTTTTAACCAAAAGTCACACCTCAGCATTCATCACAGAATTCACACAGGTGAGAAACCATATGAATGTGTAGAATGTGGAAAAGCGTTTTACCAAAAGTCAACCCTCAGCAGGCATCAGAGAATTCACACAGGTGAGAAATCACATGAATGTCAAAAATGTGGAAAAGCTTTTACCCAAAAGTCACACCTCAGCATGCATCAGAGAATTCACACAGGTGAGAAACTGTATGAACGTAAAGAATGTGGAGAAACTTTTAACCAAAAGTCAACTCTCAATATGCATCAGAGAATTCACACAGGTGAGAAACCATTTGAATGTAAAGAATGTGGAAAAGCTTTTAGCAAAAAGTCAGCCTTCAATGTGCATCAGAGAATTCACACAGGTGGGAAACCATATGAATGTAAAGAATGTGGAAAAGCTTTTAACAAAAAGTCAACCCTCAACTTGCATCAGAGAATTCACACAGGTGAGAAACCATATGAATGTGAAGAATGTGGAAAAGCTTTTAACCAAAAGTCACACCTCAGCATTCATCACAGAATTCACACAGGTGAGAAACCATATGAATGTGAAGAATGTGGAAAAGCTTTTAACCAAAAGTCACACCTCAGCATTCATCACAGAATTCACACAGGTGAGAAACCATATGAATGTGAAGAATGTGGAAAAGCTTTTTACCAGAAGTCTCACCTCAGCATACATCAGAGAAATCACACAGGTGAGAAACCATATGAATGTGAAGAATGTGGAGAAGCTTTTAGCCAAAAGTCAACCCTCAGCGTGCATCAGAGAATTCACACAGGTGAGAAACCATATGAATGCAAAGAATGTGGAAAAGCTTTTAAACAAAAGGCATCTTTCATCTTGCATCAGAGAATTCACACAGGTGAGAAACCATATGAATGCAAAGAATGTGGAAAAGCTTTTAAACAAAAGGCATCTTTCATCTTGCATCAGAGAATTCACACAGGTGAGAAACTGTATGAACGTAAAGAATGTGGAGAAACTTTTAACCAAAAGTCAATCCTCAATATGCATCAGAGAATTCATACAGGTGAGAAATCATATGAATGTAAAGAATGTGGAAAAGCTTTTTACCAAAAGTCAGCCCTCAGCAGGCATCAGAGAATTCACACAGGTGAGAAGCCCTGTGAATGTAATGAAATGAGGAAAAAGTGTTTTTATAGAGTCACAGCTTAGAAGATATCAGGATACTCACACAGGAAAATCTTGAATGTGATATGACAAACCTTTTCCTGGAACTCCTCACAGAAAGGAAAGAATTCACACAAAGGAAAATCTCAGTAAATGTACTTCGTATCGGAAAAGATTTTGGCCGAAGTCATACCTCAAGATATCAGGGAACTTACATCAAGAAGACCTATAAATATGAAACTGTCCTCAGGTATTGGATGTTGTCTTGAGGATACCCTATTGATATAAAAATTTGCTGGTGCTCTAGTTCCTTCTATACATGGTGTAGAGTTTGTGTATTACCAATTCACTTTCTGCTATGAACTTTACATCTTGTGTAGGTTACTTATAATTCTGGAAGAAATGTGAGTATTATGTAAATAGTTGTTATTCTGTGTTGTTTTTCAGTTCTGGAATGGTTTCATTTATTGTTTTTATTTATTTCTCAGGGTTTTTGATAAGTAGTTGGTTGAATCACCAGATGTGTACCATCAGATATGTGTGAAAACATTTTTTCTCCAAAGTTTCAAGGCTGGCTATGTTTAGAGTATTGTTGCTTATAGCATTGTGCTCATAACACAAAGGATCCCTATACCAGCCATTCACCATAAAATAAATAAAAGTAAAAAAGGAATTACATCATAGCAGGCAGTAGAGAATTTACACAGGGGAGAAATTTTGTATGGATTAGGCTCTGCTTTTTAAATAATACCACTCTTCTCTCTTATGTGTAGCCTGCAATCTGAGCATTCCATGATTGGGTGGATGACCATGTAATTTAACTCTGTTTTGGGGAATGTAGATATGTGATGAACATTACTTCCAGTTTGGGCACCACAATAAAAAAAAAGTTTCTGTGTAGTTCATTTTCTCTGGGACTGAATGAAGATGACTCGGGTGTAAATGGGGGCCAGAGGTGGGAGAAATCCACCATAATTTAAAACAGAAGGAATTCCTAATTTAAAATAGAAAGAATCAAAGAAACCAGAGATAGTCTCACAACTATCTCAAAACCTCCATTAACACATTATATAAGAAATTATTTCCTTGTTGAGCCATTGTATGTGTGCTCTGTTTGCATTACAACATAACCAGCCCACTCCAGCTAATGATTTTATCAACTCTCTGAGAGACGTTACCAGGCCCTGTAAATGGGAAGGGAATCCTGCATTTTCACCTGTTATACCCAAATCAATGTGTGGGAAAATCAAATTATGGGGAGAAACAATGCAATAAATGTGGAATATCTATCAGGGTCTCATTGAACAGTGAAAATAAAGTTAAATATCTTTCTGAATTTCTTTAATGTGTCAAAGCTTTCAAGAAAACTTTCAACACTTTCTGTCAGAATTTGAAATGAAGAGAAAACTATTAATGTATGTAACAAATGTAAATTTTCAAATGGAAATGATAAATGGAGTACTAAAAATATTTTTAACATTTTGAATGTTACCAATATTCAAATATGACTGGTGACACTGCCTGCCAGGGGGCATTTGGCTTTGTCTGAAGACATCTTTGGTTGTCATAACTGAAGGTTGGGAGGTGCTACTCCATTGAGTGGGAAGACAGACGTTGCTAAACAGCCTGCAATGCACAAAAAAGCCGCCTCACATATGCAACATTTATGAATAAAAATGTTCTTTGTTAAAAATTTATCTTAATGAAACCCAGTGTAACTGTGGGTAGGTAATAGATACACTTAGTATAATTTGATTTGACTTACTTCAGGATTTTTGACATTAACTGCCACTCTAACTTCAGTATATTTTGTTAAATATATTGTCTAAAATACTGCACTATATAGATTTGTTCTTACTCTCCTATTTTAGGTAAATTTGTGTGACCAGTATTACGGAACTAAGTAAAGGTAATTTTGTGTAATGTTTGAAGCTAATGCAGAGCCAGTCAGTGGGTTGAATAGAAACATTTGTATGGGAATGCACAAGTCAGGCACATTTAAACAACTTGTCTGAACTCATTTAAACAGCTGTAAACAGGAGTTTTTAAAATTCTATTCAGTAAAAATCAGTGTCTGGAAGGAATACTTATCCTTTATTCCTATTCCTCATTTTTTAAAGGGGACAAATCACAGGTATGAGTGTACTACATGCTGTATACCTGAAAAATCTCGTGTTTCTATTTGCAGTGGTGGAGTGCTATTTTGTATCTTGCCACTTACAGGTAAATCCTGGCTCCACTTGTGTATTGCCTTGCGTTTGGCTCTGCTTGTGTATAGGCTTCCAGACCTAGAGATGGCCCCAGAGCCTGTTTTTACCTAAGAAGCCTTCAGGATTCTGTGGTGCCTCCCTGTCTGCCCTCAGAGCCCTTGGGGTGGGGTAGACCAAGGCCCAAATGATGGGTATGAGCAAGTGAGACAAAAAGGTGTCTATCATAGAACCTGTGGTGTGTGGTTGGAGGCAGAGGTTATGGGGTCCTTTTGGGCAGGGAAGTCATTTCCATCTGCCACAATTCTGTCACCAAATCTTTGGCAACAGTGGGCAGAGAGTACAGCACCATCATTTATTTCTCATTTTTCACTCTAATTTTTATTTTCTTTCTATTTTGGGACGTTTAATTTTTCTCTTTTATCAACGTTTTTAGTTGGAAGGTTTGATTTCAGATCTTTCTAAAATGTATATATTTACAAATATAAATTTTACTCTAAGCCCTTTTTTACTTTTGGTATGATGTGTTGCTGTTTTCAATCTCAAAATATTTCAAATTTTAGTGACATTTTTATGGCTCACTGGAAGTTTGGGAGTTTGATGTTTAATTTCCATATAATTGTGGACTATTGAAATATTCAGTTAATAATGTTCTCTTTATATCCGTTGTGGTCAGAGAACATACATTGATTTCAGTCCTCAAATTTATTGAACATATTTTATGGCTTCGTAAATGGTCTTCTCTGGAGTATGTTCCATGGGCTTGAATAGATCGGGTATTCTGTTGTTGGGTGTTGTGTCTATATGTGCATATCTGTAAGTTCAAGTTGATTTACAATGTTGCCCAAGACTTTTATACCCTTGTTAGTCTTTTTCTTAGTTCTATCAGTTATTGAATGTTGCACTTGACGTCTCTGAATATTTACATAGAACAGTCTATTTCACTCTTAATTTCTTCTCTAATTATTTTTATTTGATGTTGGGCTTGTTTGGTGTATGTATACCTCTAATTGCTATGGTGTCCTCCTGGCTGACGCTTTTGTTATAAATGACCCTCTTTATTCCTAGTAGCATTTTTGTTTTAATTTTTTTGTCTGATATTAGTACAGCCAGCCCGTGTATCTGTGTTATGGTTCTGTTTACATTGTAAATCTTTTTCTGCCCTTTCAACCTGTTGATATCTTTGAATTTAATGTGTTTATCTTGTGCTCAATATATAGGTTTTTTTTTTTTTTAAATACTGTTGGACAAGACAAAATTTTTTTGTTTTACTTGACAGATTTTAATGGTATATGCTTATAAAGTACAATTTGATGTTTCAACACATGTATACATGGTGAAATGATTAAGTCAGGCTAATTCACATATTCCTTATCTGACACACTTATTTCGTTGTGGTGAGAACGTTTAAAATCCACTCTGTCAGCAACCTTGAAATATATGTTCCTATTAACTATATTCACCATGCTGTGCAGTAGATCACCAGAACTTATTCCTCCTCTTGGACCAACACATCCCCATTGCTAACCTTCAGTTTTGGTAAACTTCATTCTTCTCTCTATTTCTATTAGTTTGACTTCTTAATAGTCCACATATAAGTAAAATTAAGTGGTATTTGTCTTTGTGTACCTGGCTTATTTTACTTAACACACTGTACTCTAGATTCATCCGTGTTGCCACAATTGACAATTTGTTTCCTTTTTTAACATCTGAGGACAATTTTGTTTTATATGTAAACATTTATTCACTGATGAGAGCTTCTGTAGTTTTGATATCTTGACTGTTGTGAGTAATGGTGCAGTAAGCATGGGAGGGCTGACAGCTCCTCCTCGTACTGATGTCAATTCCTTTGGACATATACCCAGAAGTCGGATTGCTGGATCACTTGGTAGTTTTATTTTTAATTCTTGACAACTTTCTGCTGCTTTCCAAATTGGTGTTCTAATTTACATTCCCACCTTATGTATTCACACCTTCATGAACACCTATTATCTTTTTTATAATACGTGTTCTAACAGGCCTGATGTGATCTCATTATAGTTTTTGATTGCATTTTGCTGCAGATTAATGATGACATTACTTTCATACATTTGTTGGCCATTTCAAGTCTTCTTTGGAGAAATGTCTATTCAGATTTTTTGTTCACTTTTTGAGGAGGTTTATTTATTCTTGTTGAGTATTTTTAGTTTCATGTATGCTTTAGATTTAGCCCATGTGAGATGTATGGCTTGCAAATATTTTTCCTGAATCTGTAGCTTGTCTTCTCACTTTGATATTTGTTTTATTTTCTGTGTAGAAGCTTTTCAGTTTGATGGTATAAATTTCTTCTAACCATGAGATTAGCTAAAGTGAAGTTTTTATATGTGATGTGTATACTCCATTCAGTGTCTTCTCTAATTTCCACTGGATGTAAAATTATTTTGGCTGTGTGTGAACATTTCACCTATAACACAGGTGTAGTTAACCCCATATCATAGTTAGAACCAGAGGTTGAGATTTAGGTTTGTTGCTTGAGGTCTCAGACTGGCTGTAAAACTTTTTCACCATGCTGTATTCTTCCATTCTTCTGTGGAAACCATGCTCACCAGTCTAGAAGCCTGGGTGTGCCTCCCTCTTCAATCCCACCATGTTGCTGGCTTACCTGGTGTGGGAGCCTGTCAAGAGAAGGGATGTCTTTGTTCTTAAATCAATGTGTTTGGACACAGGAGATGCACACCTTGACATCAGTCATTGACTTTAAATGGGTTAATGTATATCGGTGAATTTGAAACCTGCTCCACCACCTGTGTTTGGTGCAACAGGGGCTCTAGGCCCACTTTTGCCACGTCTGCTGCAGGTGTTGGTGGTGCTGAATGGTATTCTCCAGAAGCTCCTTGGCCTCATTCTCTTGGAATAGCTGCCTGTGGCCTGATGGTAAGGGGTAAGCACCTTTTTTTCATTCTGCCCTCTCTGTCTATAACTGTCCCTTCCCTCAGGAATTGGGAGTCGGTCCGTGGAACCTGGAAGGGGGAGTGGGTGG